CCCACACCACACCGCTCCTCCGCTCCCTTCACTGGCTTCCAGTAACTGCTAGAATCCACTTCAAGACACTGGTACTTGCGTACCATGCTGCGAATGGATCTGGCCCTTCCTACATCCAGGACATGGTTAAACCGTACACCCCAGCACGTGCACTCCGCTCTGCATCAGCCAAACAGCTCACTGCACCCGCACTGCGAGGGGGACCCAAGTTCCCATCAGCAAAAACTCGTGGGTTTGTTATCCTGGCTCCAAAATGGTGGATTGAGCTCCCCATTGAAATCAGGACAGCAGAAAGCTTACACATCTTCCGGCGCAGACTGAAAACTCATCTCTCTAGACTCCACTTTGAGCGATTGATTTACTAACAAAGCACTTATATACTAATAAAGGGCTGGCTTATCTAAAGCCAGTTGAGTAGCACTTGAAATGTTTGGCTCTATGAAACCTGATGTACTTATATGATTCTGTTTTCTTCAAGGTTGTATCTTCCTGGTCGAATGCACTTATTGTAAGTCGCTTTGGATAAAGCGTCAGCTAAATGCAATGTAATGTAATGTAATGTAATTTGATGCAGCTAAACAGGAAGAAATAATCAACTGGCAGAATAATTATATTTTTGAAGAAATTGAAGATGGGTCTGAAGTCTCAAAGAAACTTCCAAAGGCATTGTACCCGAAGCTAGACTTGTGACTGAGGCTTTGAATAAGTTAATATCCATGAGTTACAGAGATTCCCCAACCTTTGCTTCAGAATCACTTAGACTGCTGTTAGCAGTGATTTGTCAAAATCAGTGGCAAGTCTATTCTATGGACATCAAATCTGTATTTTTGGCATGGAGCTGTCAAGAGATATTTACTCTATTACTCTACTGAAGTCTAATGTCCATGTTGGATGTGAGGAGAATGAACATTTCTGCTATGTTGGGATGGATTTTACTACTGTTAAAGGGGTAGTTCAGGTACATCAGCATAGTTACATTGATAACCTACAGCTGCTACATTTACAAGCAGCACGTGCTGTACAGAGGCAGCCCCCCTTAATGAAACAAAAAAATAGGACCGATAGTATTGGTCGCTAAGCAGACCAGACCAGATATCATGTTTAACACTTGTAGTTTAGCATCAGATATTAAAAATGCTACAGTACAGTCCATCCATGAAGTGAATAAAGTTGTCTGTAAACTTAAGTCAGAAAAGGTGACCCTCAAGTTTCAACATTTGGGTGACAATAATGGTCTTAACCTCATTTTTTTCAGTGATGCTACCCTTGGCCATCTGTCAGACGGAGGTCAGATGGAATAGACAATGCTATCAACCCTCTTTGCAGAGCTCACCACTGGAGATATTGGCCCGCCTCCAGCACATCCACCTCCATTCATCACATCCAGTGCCAGGAGAGCTAATCCACATCTCCTCAAAGCCGGATCTTCAGTATATTCTTCACCCCACTTCCTATTCAATCCTGATATTGTCTCAATATCAGGATTGATTGCCAAAGACTATTAAAATGTCTTTCATATCACGCCTGTGTCAACACATTTTCTTTTAACAAAAAACAAAGCCTTACCTGATTGAACTGTCCCCAGTTTGTCAATGGAGTGTCTAATCAGCAGTTTGTGAACACTCACCACACCAATGAGATCCCCACGGCCATACTCTCCAGCCAGCTCCTTTTTCCCATCATCCTTTGCAATGACAGAGCGGAGTCGGCCACTCAGCACGATGAAGGTGCTGTCTGACTTGTCCCCCTGTCTGAAACCAATAAGGAATTCAAAGATTCAACATCTCACCACATTTTCATTCATTTAGTTAGAATTATTGTTTCTTTCTCTTAATGGCTTTAAAATGATGGTTTGTGAAATGAATGCAGCATACTCTAAAAGTAAAACAAATCATAATGATACAATTAAATCATAAAAATAGCACTTTTTCTTGCACTCAAGTTCACCTGCAATAAAACATCACCACAGTCAACAAGAGAACACACATATATGCTATCATTGTATTGACATGAACATTTTTACAACTGATTTTTAAAATATTTTTTTTATAACTGATTTTCTTTAGTTGCATGCTTTTGTTAGTTGTTCTAGTATCCCCAATGTACAAAATGAATATTGGACATAAATGATTAGGATAAGCTTAACAAAGGTGTGTTTTCATGGTGTAATAAAGTTTATTTCATATGAATATATCTAATTAGTGTTGATGTGAGTTGTGTCAGTATTTAATCGTAAATACCTGTAAACAGCACGGCCAGCCTCAACAGCCATCCAGTCCAGGGCGAAGTCAATCTGCCGGACGAAAGGCGAGACCCTCTTCACCACAGTGTGAGCAACGTTCAGCACCACCCGGGGATCCTCGCGCATCATCCTGCAACGTTAAAAACACGCATCCAGTGTTGTGAGGAGAAGGACACGCTTTGGTATCACAATGAAATGCCTAAATGTTTGTGAATGTCAAGAGTCTAAAGAGGTTTCTCATTTCTCTAACTCCCCTCCTCGACTCCTATCCTCCTGTCTTAGTCCCGCCCACAGGAGATGCGAGTGGAGGATTGAGGAGGGGAACCGAGGAGAGAAGAGGGGAAGCAGCAGGCGGTTAGAGAAATGAGAACTCCTCTCCTCTGAGCGGTCATTTTAAAGAGACGTCCATTAATGATGACAGGAGGCACAGCAGCCCTCTGTCTGATGGACAGATGTGTTCATGACGACTTATATATTTACTTTTAATTCATTCACAGTGCGGTATAATGAGACAGTAACAGGCTACAGATCCGGACATATACACACACATATATTTATATAAATATATACAATTTCCGATTCAAACAAGTATGAGAGCACTCTCATAATAACGTAACACTATCAGAGACAGGATATACCCCCCC